ACTAGTATAGGAGGTGGTAGTAGTAGTTGTTGTAGTAGCAGCAGCAGCAGTAGTAGTAGTAGTACTGCTAGCTGCGGCAGCAGTGGTAGCAGCAGCTGCAGCAGCAGTTGGAGTGCTGGTAATAGCAGTACCAACACCAGTGAGAGTACTCTACTATAAATACTAGTAGCAGTCCACTGCGAGTACCAAGCCCTGGTACTAGCATGAGTAGTAGCAGCAATGCCCCTCCATTCCCGCCAGGCCTTTCAGCAGCGCCAGGAGAGTGTGGACCAGTGGCTCCGACAGCTTCGGCTGACGACCTTGGGTGTAGAAGAAGAAGAAGATCTTATGTGGGAGGGCTGAAGGGAGGGAGCTTAGGGCTTTAAGTTTCCATGTTTTCGGGCTTCAGTTTAGGGTAGTTTAGGGCTTGGGTTTTGGGTTCCGATGCTGTTGACACACAGGTCCGGAAACTGCGGATCGGTGACAGGAAAGCTTCGTAGAAGGAGAGACGCATCTAAGAGAATCCGGATGCTGGGATGTGGCGTCGGGGTTGGGATTAGCCCATGACCCAACAAGTCCCAGATAATCACATGATTTCTGCGCAAGCAAACTGGAGAACTTGGCTGCAGGAGGCCCCAGTCTGAGAGCCGCGCCACCCTGTTGAGCGAGCTCCCTGCAGCTTCGGAAGTATCGAATCTCATGAAGCAGTGTTTCTCTTTCCTGGAGCTACTAGCAATGCTCTTGCAAGGGGGAAACCTTCGGAAAGATGCCCCTAAGGTAATGAACCATTGGTCAGTTGGGAACCCCAGCAAACGTCCAAAAAATGCTTAGGACTAGATTCTGGCGCTCTCTGCAGCATGATGAAAAATTGACGACTAGGAATTCCTAAAATGACGAGACAAGTCTTCACGGAAGTGCGCTGCCCCTTCTAAACCCAGTTTGCCAAGATGCTGGAGGAGACCTAAGGCAGCAGTAGTTGTGGCAGTGGTAGCTGCAGTGGTAGTACTTGTCGTCGGTGCAGGAGAAGGAGTCGAAGGTAGCAGTCGTGTCGTCGTGGTGGTGGTTGCTGGTTGCTGGTTGCTGGTTGGTAGATGGGAGATGGTGGATGGTGGATGGTGGATGGAGGATGGAGGATGGTGCGGATGGCGGGGGTTGGCAGGTGCTAGGTGGTAGCATCGCTTTCTTCTTGCAGTGCTACTCCGACACTGTCCCTGTCGAGTGGTAGGATACAGAACTAACTATCTCTATTGCAGAATTAACTATCTCTGTTGTTTGTGAGATCCGGACAAGCCCCACTTTTTGACTCCAAAGAGCCAGGAAGGTTTGAGTGCCGCAGCAAATTGCATTCGAGGCAGCATGGGTCAAAGCCACAAGCAATTCTTCGAAAGCTGCCCTTCTGCACCTCAACACGTATTGATGCTCACTGTCCTAAGAGCACTCAGCAGAGTGGCTGCAGGTCTGCATGTCCACTCCCGTTGAACCGGCTGCAAACACGGAGTGATTATTCTGCCCTCAACACTCACAGAACCACAATCCTATGGCACACGAAGCCATGAGCAAGTGCCCATCAAAATGGGCTCTACCCTGTGGCACGCCGATATAACAGGACAGGTCTACAACCGGAACGCCGCATGAGTGCAGGTCTCTAGCAGCATCTACATCGCACACGTACATCCACGGCACACATACCCGACACCTACCCAACCTACCCGTTTGAGCGACGGTGTACCAAGAGTTTCTGCCGTCTAAACCAAAGTCGAAGACTGAAAAGCCCAACAACTCCCAGAATCGGAACCTTTCAATCTAATTTCGGCATCCGAAAGCATTGTTGAATACATTCCATCAACAACCCAACATGAAATTTACAAGACCTTGCACCTGAATCCGAATGTCTGTTGATCGAGTGCGAAAGGTTTGAAAGTATCCCGCCCAAAAAGTTTCCCCTGTGGTTCCAAGGGCAGCTCTCTGCTCGAACACCCTGCAAGCTAGCACACTCCACAGCAGTGCGGGTTCCATAGCAGCGAAAACCCCAGTCACCAATAAATACTACAAAACGGCAGAGCTGTAGTAAAGATGTGGAGCCCTCATGAGGACAAGATGATGATGATGGTGATGGCGCCGGTGACGATGATGTCGTTGCGGGCATCATGGTGATTCCCAAGGCGGCGCAAACTGGTAGTCACCTGATGATGCCTGATGCTCCCTTGATTTCGTTTCGTAACAGACTTTTCGCCAAACGGTGATAACAGTGAACTGGACTGCGTGTACTGACATCTGAGCGTCCAGCCTCTGCAAACGAGAAATTTTTCAAGTAGAAGATTCTGTTCAAGGCCATTCAATACTTGGCTTGAGGGCCGTCGAACTCGACAGGACTTCGGTTTTGCTGTTATAGTTTGTTTACCTACGTATAAGTCACCACACTATCGCTCTGCTCAGACACGTAGAACGAGATTGGTTGAGCTTGAGTGCATAATCTGCTGGCGCATCTCGCGGATAACGTGATCCGGTCCTCCGAAACTTGCCCTGAGGCTACTATACGATATCATAATGTACCATATTATAAATATGCAATAGTGTAATGTACGATTTTTCAAATCTACTACGGCATAATCTACCATATTCTGATATACTATTTTGGACTATACTATGTTCTACTAGAAGGCACCTACTACAGTAGTATTGAAGGGGATCTCACTGCACTGAACCCGGACCGTTCGTGTGGCTGTGGCAATCGGCCCCTCACATCTTGAAGGACTCATGGTCACGAACCGTTCAGACACAGGGCCCCGAGGCGTGAGGTTTCGGCGGTTTCGGGGTCCGGGCATGCTTCCAGCTTCGTTTCGCCATGGGTCCTTCTAGAATAGCTGAGATAAAGGTACGCGGTGGTGAGAGCCGTAGGCCACGAACAATAACCTCGGCAGCGTGGCTGGCCATCGCTTTCGAACGGGATGTATGGAGTGCTAACTCGTGGACTCAGGCGCAAAGCTGTGAGGACTTTGTCGACTTGGGCTGAAGATTGCGGCTTTCTGGAACGCTACGGCGAAGACCTGGACAAGGGTCAGAGTGACTGACTCTTCCGAAACCAAATTCAAGTTGGACTTCAACTGCCCTTTTACCCACTACACCCAAAGCCAGCACCTACCCTTTGTGCAGCAAGGCAGCAGAATAAAATGTCCCACGAGCCACCTGGCTGCGTCTCGCTTCAATACATTCCGCCAGATCACCTACCCTCCATACCCAAATCCCAACCCCACGCGCTGGAGCGCTTACACGTTTGGAGCTACGGGCGTGACAGCTCTGACACACTGCACCCAAACGACTCCTCTTCGCATCGAATCTTCTGCCCCCTGCCGGTTTCTCGTATGTCCGAAGCATGTGCCCTGTCCGTTGAAACGCTGAGTCCTGCACACTCCACCCCCACAGATTTCAGACCAAGCTTTCAAGGCAGACTCCCGGGAGCTATGCGATGATGTAATGTCATGTACAACAACAAACAACACAAGGTAGTGTAGTGATATATACTGTGATATCTGGAATAAAAAGCCACGCAACGTCATACGATGGAAACACAATGCAATTCAATCGAATAAAAAGACAATGATACGGTTGATGATATAAACCCTGCATTACCCATAACAAGTATTACTCCATAAATCCCATAGTCTAGGCACATTACGGTAATGCAAGATGTATACCATCAACCATATGACCCGGCCTGAGGAGCCATGCTAGACATGTCTCGCTTCGGAGGTGCCTCGGCGCATAGCCAGGGCTCTGTAAACAAGCGGTCAGAGGCTTCTGGCAACAGGGCCTGGACAACGTAATATACAGGGTTTCTTCATCGTTTGAACTAGACTCGGGTTTCGGGGTATATCATAGCAGAGGTATATCGGGACTACAAAGGGATACTGTTACACTTTATTCCACTGATTAATCATACAAACTGCCAGTTGCAATTCTGGGGAATAGCAGACGACTCGAACATAGCCATTGTTGCTCATTGCTCATTATACCGTGTGTATATATATATATATACATATATATGTATGTGTATATATATATAATCTTATTTTAACTGTATAGTACGTATTACAAACTGCCCGAAGAGCACCAACCCGAGAGCCACACTGTAATCAGGCGATGGCGGCCAAACTCCGCCATCAACGGCTTGCAGACCTGGAGTCTGCGGGCCGTTCCGATTGCACGTACTGGCTGTGCTGAATATTGTTGGGGCTCTGTTCATGGAGCTTCTAATTTTTGAGGTCTTGTGATTCGAACGGCTACTGCGAGGTATGCGTGTTCTTTGTGACATCCTTGGCGGTTGAGACCATGCTTATCATGCTGGTGAGGCTTCTCCTGATGACGATGACTTTTATGGTGGCGGTGAAGATGATGCTGACGATGGTCGTGGAGAGTCTTTGACCGTTGTCACCAATCTGGCTCTTGTGTTGATTACCATCAGCAAAAACTATTGTGCTGGCGACTACGGATATGCTGAATAATGTGACGATTGCTATGTTGCCATGTTTAGGCTGACCATTAGGACTGTTAGGTTCCTTGCTTCCCGGTGTTAGATGCAGAGTGACTTGGCCGTCATCAGGTAGGCGGACTGCAACAAAACTGCATCACATCAAGGGGCTCTTTTTCTACAATGGGTCTGGAGCTCCACAATAATACAAATCCTTCCCGAAGCCCCGGCTCCCCAAAACCCAAACCCCCAATGGAGACCAAGAAAGGCATCTGAGCTCCAGGGCATGTAGGCAAAGTACCTTAGCCAGGATAATAGTGAAGAATAGGTGGTTGTAGCATAATTACAATGAGGAACCCGTGGGCCAGGGAAATCCAGGCTTTGCGACATTCATGAGCTTCACCACACTGGTAGAGTTCAGGGATTTCTGTCATTCCTGCTTGCAAACAAGATTCAAGCTTGATGCTTACGAACCCCGACTTCGCTAGAAACACAAACCCGAAATCCTGAACCCAACAGCAGGAAGCCTGTCAGGCCTCAAAACCCACAAGCATCAGTGTCCGTAAAAGCTCTGCCCATGGCTTGGGCTTGGAGAGGATTGGCCGAAGGAGTATGGAGGGAGGGTTCGGGGTTTAGTAAGGGTTTGGGGGTTTAGGGTTGAGGGAGGAGCGACTGTCCCGAGATTGTAGAAAATGCACACCACCCAGTGCTCTCCAATGTGGCCGCTAAAGGGATACCCAAACAGTAAGAGCGAAGCAAAGATGTCACTCCCCGAGACACCGTCACTGAAAGACGCCACACTCGCCTGTCGACTGCAGCATGCACCCTTACAGTTGCATTCCAGCAGCATCTGCATCGGGTCCTGGTCGCCTTTCATGAACCTCCAGCAACGCGTGGCTGGCAGAAAGCTCGCTCAGAGCATCGCATGCATTCACACTCTCCTTTGGCTTAGAATACTCGCTCTGGTTGCAGGCAAGGAGCTTCAGGTACCATTTAACGAATCCAATGAAAGTCCTCGGGCTTGGCAGCAATGGTGGCACGGGCTGGTTGTCAGATCACCATTCTGAGTTCCCCTGACTGGTTGCAACGTCGACGTCCAGAGGAATAAGGGGCCTTAATAATTAGAACAGGGTTTTGGGGGTGCATTATCCCATAACTATAATAAGGAAACCCCCAAAAATAGTACTGTTAATTCTTTAGGCCCCAAGATTACTTCCTTCTACAAGCGCATCGCCTCTTGCTGGCCGAGCCACACAGAGCCCTTGCCATCCTTGTCGAAATCCTTCCAGAACATCTTGAAGACGTGCTCGGGCACCTTTGCAGATAGTCCAACTCTGAGACAGGATGCAGGGTGAGTTTTGGTTTCGGCATTGCCTGAAGTGCCACTCCTCATCCTAACATGAATACTTCTGCGCCGACCCGCACGAACGGCGATCGCAACTGCCACAACCACCACAACGGCTACAGGAAATGCCACAAACACTAATGCTGCGGGAATACCTGCCACGGTGGTGTGAATTGGAGTACGGGCAACAGTAGCTTTGCGAGCGGGCCTTTCAGATTTTCTGCAGTACTCTGAGTCGGTGTGGCAGCAGAGGTGCAAGCAGCACCAGCAGCAACAGAGGCAGCACCAGAGGAATACGGTCCTCTTAACAGCAGGTGCTAATCGTGAAATGCAAGAGTAGCGGTGGCGAGTACAGTAGCAAGAGCAGTAGCGGGGTAGCAGTAGTCGCAGTGATCGTCGTAGAGGTGGTCGTGGTCGTAGTCGCAGTCGTTGTCGTGCTCTCGATCGCGGGCGTGGTCGCAGTCGTAGTCACGGCCGTAGTCGTCGTAGGGGTAGTCGCAATTTTTGTCGTCGTAGTGTCGTCGCAGTAGTCGTCGTCGCAGTGGCAGTCGCAATACTAGTCATCGTCGTAGTCGTCGTCGTGGTGGTGGTCGTGGTAGTGGTAGTAGCAGCAGCAGCAGTAGCAGTGGTGGTGGTGGTAGTAGTGGTAGTACTACTAGCAGTAGCAGCAGCATTATCAGCAGCAGCACTATCATAAACGAAGCCTCCAGCCGGATGCCTCTCCCCACAAGATATTCAAACAAAAGATAACGAGTGTACATGGCCACGGCACTTCAGGACCTTTTGGTGCGAAGTGCCGCTGAATCCTGGCGAAGCAATTGACTATAGGCTTTTCCTCAGACGGATTAGACCCACAAGTCTGTGTATGCGGATCCATCAAAGAACAAGCTGCGGCCCAAACATGCACTTACTTCAAGAATGGCATCAGGAACGGTATCCTGGTAAGTTCAGAGCAAGACAACCCGGAGCGGACTCCAACAGCAACGAAGGCGAGCTGCAAGACTTTGAACTCATCTCTCTCGAGGGTGTTGGAGTTATCTGCATCGAGTTTCCTGAACTCGTCCTCGGTGGCTGAAGAACCTACATGGAATCCTTACCCCCTATACTCAAGCCCGGTCTATGCACCATAGACTCACCCGCACAAGCCAATCACCCAGCTCACAGCATTCTGCTCACATGCCTGGGAAAGATCTCTTTGCTGCAAGATTTTTGGCACAAGTGGCATACAGCTTCTCCACTTCCAGGATAGTTCGGCCCAGACTTTTGGCAACGCTCCGGACCATCTTCTGATCTTCCCTGTGGAGCACTGCAAAGCAAGAAATCACAACAGCTGCGGTAAAGACAACCCTGGCAACAGCAGCGACTGCAAAAACAATGCACGTGATGATGAACATGACATAACATCGAAAACAACAGTGTTACAACGAATAAAGTGAAGCAAAAGAGCTCTATCACTATGAATGACAACGCCAATACGCAAAATTCAGGTCACACTGCGGATAATGGTACCAAAGAGTGCAGGCATGGCGCGAAATGTCATCTGGAATGAAATTCTGCTTGTAATCGAGAATGTCCTGAGACAGGGAAGCTCAGCGGTTCGGCAAGACTGCTTCTCGCTCTTATTGTCGATTCAGTTCGTAGTTTGATTATTCCCACGGGGCGTACTTGTCTTGTCGTCTTGCCGCTCTCGTTGAAAACTCCAGTGCGCATACCTTGTTTTGCTGAAGGCCAACGGTACTATATGACGCTTCCATCAGTTCAGATGACTAGTAGTCATTCTAGCAATATAAATGATACTATTGCCGCTTAGTTACTACTCTTACTACTTGCTATGCAAAGCGATCTTGCTCTCAGCACGGTTGCTCTAACTGGCATTGCCATGATTCCTACACCACTTTTGCTGTTATGTCAATCCTGTGGTTGTTGTAGGCCATGCAGATACTTTGGCACTCGGTGGAGCATTGGCATATTACCAGTAGCGGCAGCAGCAACAGCAGCGGTAGTGGTAGCAGCAGGAGAAGTTGTTGCTGCAGCCGTGGTACGGTCTGAGGAGCCTCCGAACAGTATCAGCACCAGCAGTACTAGCAGAGGTAAGAGAAGACGAGGGGCCAGAAGCATGCAGCAGCATTGCGGCATCACCGATTAGAAGAAAACCATGCTGCCAACACAACAGCAACAAATACAACTGCGACTACAATCACAGCTGCAACTGCAACTGCAACGGCAACTGCAACTGCAATAACAACAAAAACAAAAGCTCCTGATAATAAAAACAAAAATTCTACTACTACTACTACTACTACTACTACTACTACTACTACTACTACTACTACTACTACTACTACTGCTACTGCTACTGCTACTGCTACTGCTACTGCTACTGCTACTGCTACTGCTACTACTACTACTGCTACTGCTACTGCTACTGCTACTCCTGCTACTACTGCTACTACTACTACTGCTGCTTCTGCTGCTGCTACTACTACTACTACTACTGCTGCTACTCCTACTACCTACTACCACAACCACGACAACGACAACGACGACAACAACGACCACGACAAACGACCACCACCACCACCACCACCACCACCACCACCACCACCACCACCACAGCGACCACAGCGACCACGACAACGACTAACAACAAACAAACAAAAACACAAACAAGCAACAGTGGACAAGGACAATTGTAGCCACGGACTTGGCAGCATGGATGTTTAGCCCTAACAGTCGCATCTGTGGGTGAACATGTGGATATGTACAAACAAACATGCATTTACAAAAACATATACAGACACAGATGTTTGGATATATGTGTGTACATACATATACATATATATATATACATATATATATATATATGCATAATTATGTGCGTGTATGTCTATCTATCTACCTATCTATCTACCTAATCATATATGTGTTTTCGTGCACTTTTTCGCTTCTCCATTCATGCACTGCTTTGAACGTCTGCGCATCCATTTAAGGTCTCTGTACTTGCTCATGTTCGTACTTACGCTTCTACTTACCTGATTGCGGTTGCCGTTAATTAATTCTGCTTTGACGGGCGCACCAAAAGCTTGAATACCTGCTGCTTCTATGCAGAGATGCCTGCTTTGAAGGAGCACAGGCCTCAACGTTTCCCAGAGACTGTGATCTGCAGCCTAAGGACTCGAGGCCTTTGAGAATAATATTCAAGCAGGCTTATAAGGGTTCTACAGGGATTCTATATGAGCCAGGGTTTCATGGGAGAGCAACGTTCAATCGATTCTGGCTATAGGAGCCAGGGTTTCATGGGCTGTAGAGCAACGTTCAATCGACTCTGGCTGCGTAAAGGGGAAGGCTTACACTGCGAGCTCAGACATGACGACGACTACGAGGTGAGTCGGGGGAAGACGAGGCTTCGACTAGTCTTTTAGGGTGTCTATACGGGCTACTATAAGGGTACTATAATGGCTCTCAAAAGTCCCGGAGTTCAGAGGTACTAGGAGGATTTCAACTCTTTTTCCGTGCCGTGCAGAGCGAGGATCGATTCCCATAAGCTCTGCGTACCACTTCTGGAACTCATCGAAGTCGATGCTGCCACTGCCGTCGGCATCAACCTATCCGGCATAGGATCACACGTGATGCTGAACAGCTTCAAGCGCACCGCTTCAGGCAAGCATTCCATGTAGTCGATTCTAACTTTCCGCGTGGAAGGCCACTTTGGCGAAACACAATATGTAAGTACACCTCGGATAGAACATACTAGATATCCTGAATACAACATCCGTGATTCGAACCGGAGAACAAAGTAAATAAACACATATATATATATATACACATATACATATGCTTACATCAACGAATCTCCTTGAAAAATCTCTCTTCCAAGCGACCTGGTCCCAGACCGCCCAGACCTCTCCTCGGTCGAGGTCCTGCAACGCTCCGAGGGCATACAGGTAGGCCCCGGCGCCGAGGAGGCGTGAATATTGAATGGCAAGCCGGAGTAGAGCATCCCGTTCTCTCGGGATGGCTAGTACACCCATACATCTTTAAACTATCATGTATCCATCTATCCATCTATACGTGTGGGTGTCTAGATCCATTCTATCTGTACATGTATATGTACATGCATATCCGAACCCGACCCCGGACCAAACCCAGCCCAGCCAAGGCAGCGCCAGCCATGTGCAAATCAGAACTTAGGCCATGAGTAACGTCAGACTCTTGCATGTAACCCTAAACGACCGGCCAAAAAACTTTAAACATACTTGCTACACCGTATAGAAAAACAGTTGGAAACAGAGAGAGCGAGCGAGAGAGAGAGAGAGAGAGAGAGAGAGAGCGAGCGAGAGCGAGACAGACAGACAGACAGACAGACAGACAGAGAGACAGAGAGACACCACATGCACGCGAAAACAAACACACACACACACACACGCACATACATACATACATACATACATACATACATACATCCATCCATCCATACATACATACATACATACATACATACATACACATGTACACACGTACATATATACCTCTACCATCTACATCTGTTACTGCACCTACATCTACATGCACGCTGAACTAAACATATGATTCACATGCAGCTACCTCTACAACTACATAGAAACATGTGTGTATACATATGCATATCCTTATGCATATGCATACGAACACGCATATGTATATGCATGCTCATATGCATATGCATGTGTGTATATGTATACATATATACACACACATGTACCCATATGTCTGTATTGCAAAACCATGCACCACCACTTATGCAACAAGCCTTCGGATACATTCCCAACAGACCTGCACTTCCGATGATCTTACTCTGCACCCGAAGGTAAGACATCCACAGATTCCTCCGCCGGCCGACGGAGGAGCTTGGCAAGCAATGGGATGAATTCCTAAGTGCAAAAAATATGGGTGTGGGGTTTGTTTGTGCTTAGGATTTGGAAGTTACGCTTTAGACGAGATTTGCCTAGTTGGAGAGGCCTTCATCTCAACGATCCCACTTTTCCGGATCTGCATACTGAAGACGAAAGCACTGTCCCACAATAGCGAAACAGCTTTCAGTTCGCCAGCTCTTGGCCTCTTGAAGAAAATCCTTCCCTGTCGCCTGCAGGTTGAAATCGAAGGGCTTGACTCGAGTCTGTTTGGGCATTCATAAGTTGAGGGATATTCCGGAACGGGGTAGGGTCGAAGCCTGCGGCTCCACCGGTACAGCTGAATGCAAGTTGCTTAAGGATCCCGCTGCTCAGAGCTTTATCATGCTAGTTGCTGCTTTCTGGCTACCTTAACCAAACTCCCTACACCCTAAACGCGAAACCCTACACTCAACCATAAATCCTTAACCCAAACTGCAGCAAAAAAGAATGGGCTCCCCCTTTTCTGGCAGGCTGCCGGCGGCTCGATAAAGCCGGAGCCATCCTGGTACAGGCGGGAGATCGCCAGCTTGGATTTAAGGTTTCATACAGGGGCAAATGAGAATAGGGTTCCCTTTAAAGGGTTCCGTTTAAAGGGGTCTATAAGGGCTACTATAAGGGTCTAGAATAGGTACCAAGGGTCTTGGGGTCCGTTATACTGTAATTAGTGTAAGGAACCCCCAAAAGAGTATGGTAATTGTTACGGCCCCTATAGAAGGAAGGTTGCTACTCATCGCTAGCAAGGTGGTTGGTGGATTTGTTAAGTACAGCTACGCCAAGCTGGGCGAAGGTCAGTTAAGCTAGATGCAATTAGGTTTGATCAGGTTGGGTTAGGCGGCTAGGGAAAGGTAGGTTAAACTAGATTACGTCAAGTTTAGTAAGTAAGTTAGTTAGTTAGTTAGTCGGTTAGGAAGTGAGTTCAGATAGGTTAATTGATTTTGCTAAATACTCTATTCGTTTGGTTGGTTTACCTAGTCCATTTAGTCTACTTAGTTTACTTATCTGCGAAGCTGGTTAGCTAATTAGCTAGCTGGCCGGCTAGCTGGTTCTCTGATCTTCTACTTAGATGGCTAATCACGTAGTATCCGCCAGCTGGTGAACAGCCTCGCCTGGTCAAAGTGGGAGAAGATGCGGCGAATGTCATTGAGGTCGTGAATGGCCTGTTGCGCTGCCAGCAGAAGCCCGTCCCCTCCACAAACAAAAAAGCATCAAAACGTAGTGCTTATAGCAAAGAGCTGTTCCGACACCTACAATCTTGGACTACCCCTTTGCCCCATAAGGCTTTCACCCTGCGCGACTGTTCCAGTCGCCACTTTTCAGGGGTTACCCGACAGAAACGTACGAGCCGCCACTTGTTCTTCGTATGGAAGTTAGCATGCAGAAGCGTCTTTGGACTCAAAGTGAGAACCGCAACTGGCTCTTGCACGTTGGCCTGGCCACACACTCTGCCCTTAGTCCCCGCCTTCTTGTGCATCACTTCGGCCGCCACGTTCTTGTCATCTGGGCTGGCTTGGGTCAAGGCGGCTGGTCAGCCCAAAATCTCAAATTGGAGGCTGCATGCATAGGTTTTCATACGAAAACACTGCTATTCCCCAACTTCTCGGCAAGAAGTTCCAAACCGGCTCTGCTGCAGAAGCCACGTGCTCTGTGCCACATTGCTTAGTTCCTCCGGCACGAAAGCTCCATAAAGCATTCACAGATTCTTTACTGGTGGTTAGCGCTTGTTTCGGCTTACCAGAACATAGCAATGTGAGGCCCTGTGAAGGGCTTTTGGGATTATTACTCGAGAGCTTAGGGTAAGCTTAGGGTTTAGGGTTTAGGGCTTTGAAGCAGGAACTGGATTAGTGAGTGTCCAACCACACAAACGAGCGCACTTTTTGGTCTGAGCCCAAGACGTCTGTCGAACAGGGTGCGTTCAGAACTAGCACGAAAACTACGCTCGCATGAGGACATGTCAACACGGCACTTCAAGACAGGGAAATTTCACACCCGTCTTATCTGTAGTGTGACGTCCGAATCATGCTCGAATTATGGCCGCTTTGGGCCAAGCCTACTTCACCGGATTATACCGGGAGCTTGCGCAGTCAACCGAGCCGAGTGCGGCGACTCAAGGCTCCAGGCTGAGTTCTTCAATCGCGAAGCGGAATGCTTTCGGTACTCTCGGTATTCTGTGCGGCTTGCGCGGGCACATCGAGTACCTGAACGAGATTGCGATCAATGCTGTGATTGATCAAAAGCGGTTTCATACTCTTAGTGAGACAATCCGCAAGTTGTAAATGCGTCGGTATCCATCTCAACTCATCGCCAAAGGGATGGTACAGAGCGTGCGTTAGCTCGTCCTCTTCCCAAAGTCCTTGGCGGAGTCCGGACATCTCTATGGCAAGGCGTTTATCCTCGCAAGACTTTGGAATCGACGCTGTCAAGTGATCCGAAAGGGACCTGCAGTCCGTATACTGCAGGTGGAACATCGATCTCTTGGCGACTTCTTCCCAGTTCTGTGACCGGGGCAGTTTGCCGAGCAGTTCGAGTACTGCTGCTCGAATGCGGTCTCCATGCTCTATGGCGTGTTGCAACGAGTAAGCCTCACACTGCAGTGTGGCGCGACAAACCCGTTTCATGGTGGACGAGGAGAACGAAATAAGGTGCATCTCATGCGTTGGCGCGTTCTTGTCCACCGCCGACTGTGCGGAAGTGAGGTAGTGGAAACGGCCTCTCTGCGACTTATGGTTCGCCTCTCCTGCAAAGGAGGCGTCGCAAAACGTGACGACCGCCAGCTCCCCTGTATTCCAGGGTAACTTAGCGCTGTACGTGATCGGCCTATCCGCATCTCCTAACGCCAGTGCTACTACGCGGTTTGCTTCACGGAGCGTATCCACCGTGGCTGTCGTAACACGCTGCTGCAGGGCATTCACCCTATAGGCAAGATCAGGCCTCGTGGCGCGGGCCACCCAAGCCAGCGATCCTATGACGGATCTCAGCGCTGTGCGCTGGCCATTCGAGACTGGAGTCGTGCCCTTTTCAGACTTATGTATATCGATCGGGCGAATTGCACGCGTGTTGTCCCTACAGTTTATACTGATGGTCCCATCGGCGCTTTGCACATACTCGCGTCCGCAGAAACGGAACTTCTCAGTCTCTATGCGACCGATCTTAAACTTATCCAGCAGATTCTGGATAGCCGGCTCGCCTTCGGCGGTAGCAGCCCACAGGAAATCATCCACGTGGGTGCACAAGCAAGCGCACAAACGACCACCTTCTCCTGTAATATAGTACAGGGCTGACAGAATTTGCGAGGCATTTAAGCCAAATTCTCGGGCACTCTCCTTTATACGGAGGTAAAGGTTCCGACCCGCGTCGGTCGTGCCATACACGGGTACTCGGGCAATCATATGCCCGGCTCGCTGAATCTCTGCATCGGGCACACCCTTAGGGTGTTTAGGAACCCGAAGAATGAGGAGGCGCTCAAGGGGTTTCCCTTGGAAGTATGCGTTCGTTATATCGGCTGCTTTGAGCCGCAGGGCCAACGAAACCGCCCATGAACACAGAAGGGCTATACCTTCCGGCTCGGCCGTGGGGCTGTCTGCCCTGATATCCTCCTCATTCGAGATATGCTCGAAGTTTCCACATGCGACCAAGCGTGCTTTCCACTTGGGAGTGTATGCTGGCGTCCCCTTTAGGTGTTCATTCTTATCGGTGAGGACCCATTTGGTGGGGATACACACGTGGCCAGCCTTTGTAAGCTCCTTAAACTCCTTGTCTGTGCAAGGGACCACTGCGTTGAATTCAGTGTACTTCTGCCATTCAGTTTTCATGGCAGCATCCAGCCCCAGCTGTACCTCTACAGGGGCTTTATGGTAATCCAGGAGGGAGGCCATGTAGCCAGCATCGACATTAGAGCCGAAGGCGTCTTCCCCATCTGGGGTGAGAGCAAAGGCCTTGGATTCCGCCGCTCGACTATCCGAGGGCTCAGCTGCTGGCACTGTCGTGCCAATCGCAGCTGTGTGCGATGCTGCTGCCAGTCCGTCGTCTTCCTCAGGAATGTAGTGACACGGATGGGCTTCTGGCAGTCCGTTAGCACGTATGTGCTCGGCAAGTTTCGAATGCTCGAGCAATATGTGCTGGGCGATATTTCGCCGATGGCATCGCCGCCAACTGGCCTCCGAACACAACAGAAGTATTCGGTGGAAGTCATCGTGAGCCTCGCTAACTATTCTAGCGATCGTGGAGAGCCCTTGGTCTGTTTGCAGGTTAGCTTCAATCCCGCCCCGATTCTTGTTGCCTAACTCGGGGGCGTGACTGTACACAACCCCTTTTGCAAAGCATGTGGCGGAAAGCTCATCACAATTGTATTGTGGATGCCGAACGCTGTACGGATGACTTCTGCAATCTACGATTTCATTAATCCCGTACTCGTGGATGCGCTCTAGGAACGTCTCGATGGGGAGATCAGAGTGACCCATGGTGTATATCCCATCGCCTTTCCTGCCAAAGGTGTTGGGCGCATCCCTATATATGGGGTAGCCTAAGTCCGACAAAAGCTGTATGTCATCTTTAGACAACTTACCGAGATCACTCACCGTGTATGCGGAGAGACTGTATCTTTCTCCTACAAACGGTGCGACCATGTGCACGTCCTTCGGGCGAAACTTAAGAACCTTGTTCTTAGTATCATGGACGGTGCCATACATTGTCGTGTTTTGAACACGCACGGGGGTTGTACCCGTGGCTTCTTCCACCCATAGGCCGCCTCCACGATACTCGCCCACACCTATAGTGTAGTTATACGAGCCAGGAGTGTTCGCTAGGTCTCTATGGGCCTCTGCGCCTCTGTTGGTAAGCTGAACGCTACTCCACTGTGGGAGATGATGACCGGCTTGCATACTGTGATGCAAGATGTAGTGGTTGAGGTACATGGCGAACGACGGTCTCTCGCGCGTTGGTCCAGAGACACCAACAAGACCACCGTGCCGATATACTCCCACCGCGAGGGCTATGCTCCCGGGATCTCCATCATCTAGGAGCGGGCGCGTGTACGCCTCGCGTCGGTCGCGGTCATAAGCACGAAGGAGGGCCAGACACTCATCTGGAGAAAAACCCTGAGTATCTATCAGGCCTTTTGCCATGGTCTCTACTTGATCAATCTCTTCCGCAACTAGTGCATCATCACGGCCTCCTACTGGCGATCGCGACCGGGCGGTTTCGCCCGTCTTATCTTTGGCGCGAAACCTTGCAGGTGTAGATGGCGCTGGCATCGGTGTGCCGGGCATCATCGCTGGCGTCGATGGTGCTGGCATAGACACATCGTGCGCGACTGCCGGTGTAAGCGGGGCAGCTGCAGCCACTGGACGTGGCGTCGCTGGTGCTGTGACCGGATCTGCTACGCGCTCGTCCTGGAACCTTTGTTCCGGCCCATGTACAATGGCTTCCGGAAGCACTGGCTCACCTGCCAAAACGCGGTGCGCTGCAACTTCAATTTCATCAGCTGGTCGCATCTTCCTAGCATTCACAAGTACAGGGATATTCTCGTGTAATACCCAGTACGCATTCTCTGCCTCACGTCCTATGACGCGGCTAACTGTGGACCATACGACACCTGGGCTGCCAGGGACGTTATCCCGACGATAGATAACTAAATCACCAACCTTATAGTCAGTGTCTAGAGGGGCTGCATTACGCTGTAACGCTTTGGCCACTTTGCGGGAAGTCTCTAAGTGAACAAAGGCCTTTTTGGCTTCCTGCCGTGCTCTGTGCCGAATGTAGTATACACTCGTCTCATCATACTTGGTGAACAATGTACCAAGGCTTTCGGATTCATCTAGCACGGAACCCGGTGTTCGAGGCTGCTTTCCCAACACGTGTTGTGCTGGGCTAAACCCTTGGTGCCTACTAAGCTCGTTCTTAGTAGTAACGCTCTCGGTAACGACCGCCTCCATCTCCTCGATATTCGAGGGCTGAGTCTCCTGCGCGACTTTTCTGATGATGGCCTTAGCAAGTCCACCATGGCGTTCGACCTTTCCAATAGTCTGCGGACTCTCAAGAGGGGCGTTCTTATGGGTTATACCATGCTGCGCCAAATACTCTGAAAATTCTCCCCTGAAGTGCGTCCCTCTGTCAGTGGTTATGACTTTGGGATGTCCAGCCCAGCTGATCCACCTGTCAATCAGGCATTTCACACACTGGCGGGCACTTGGGTTACCACCCCCAGATTTCACGAGCACAACTTGCTGGAAACTTGTTCCCATGTCAACTATATTGACAGCAGTATAGCGATTTCCGTAGAAGTCTTTGACCTCTAGCGCATCCATACCTATCGTATGGTTGAACTCCTTTGGGAACACGCTATCGCCTGCGACAGGGTGATGCCTGGGCACTGGAGCTGTGTCCAGGCAGACCTTACACTTGTAAAGTCCGGCAGCGGCGATGAAATCCTTGCTCGCCCGGGCCTGCTTCAGAACCTGAACCAGGACTGCGTTTGGCAGATGGCCAAACGACCGGTGCAG